GGCCAGGCTGGTTTCGAACTCCTGACCTCAACTGATCCGCCCATCTCAGCCTCTCAAAGTGCTAGGATTACAGACATGAGCCACCCTGAACTTTTAATATGTAAATTTAGCAACACTTGTGTTGTTCAGAAGCTTATGCTAATAAAATCCTGGTTTCTTGCTACATTCTGATTAAGTATGTTTGCCAAGTAATTTTCCTCTGGATACATACTTTTATTCTGCTTATTTAACAAGCACTCATATAGTACTTACTATGTGTATGCCAAATGCTTCAGAAATATTAACTTATCTAATCCTGGTTACAGTTCTGTAAGTCTAGTATCTCCATTTTACAAAAGAACAGACTCACAGAAAAGTTAAGTAACTTGCCTAAAAAAAATCACACAGCCAATTAGTAATGCACATTTTTGAATTGGGTTTTTCTTTACAACACTGATAAATATGTGGGACTTTTGATCTGCCTATTATCTTTACCATTTTTAATTTCTAAAAATGGCTCTTCTGTGCATCTGTTCTCAATTTAGTATGCACTCATTCTTTTTCTGTGCAGAATTTATAGTGTTAATTCTATCCATCCTTGTGAAGTTTGGTTAAAAAACACTTTTAAGGAAGTGTTTTTTTAGTTTTTATTTACCATCATTTACATTGTAAACATGTTATTTGTATTTACTGTAATAGAGTGGTAATTTAACTAATGACATTCTATATTTCAACTACTTAATTACCTAGTTTTTAAAAAAAGCAATAATTTTTTAAGGAATTAGTCATTTTATCTAATGCATCTATAATTCAAATAATACACATAAATTATCATTCTGTACTCAGTATTATGGGTGAAAATTAACTAAGAAAACCAAAAGTTCTTTAAAAATAATTATAAAATTCCATCTGTGTTTATTTTCCTATCCATTCACCCTACTCCAATATTCTAGAGAATATGATTTAATAACAAATACAAAAAAGAATACAAAAAAATGTCTTGGAGTTCACAATATAATTTTATTAAAACTTATTCAGATGACACTTTTATAGTATTTCTAAAGTTCTTACAAATGTCAATTATCAAGGTGTTTATAAGTTGAATACTGACATTTGGAAACAATATTTTATCATTCATTCCAGTTCACAATATAATTTTATTAAAACTTATTCAGATGACACTTTTATAGTATTTCTAAAGTTCTTACAAATGTCAATTATCAAGGTGCTTGTAAGTTGAATACTGACATTTGGAAACAATATTTTATCATTCATTCCAGTTTACAGTAGTATTTTTTTCAAGAAAAATCTGTGTTTCTGTGTTTCATGATAGCAATCCAACAAGTAAGCTGTAACTTAAAAACTGGAGAAAAGAAAAACATTAACAAATTCACAACTCCATTGTAAAGAATAGCTATTTGTTAAATTAAGTCTACGTTTGGCTTATGGTCATTGCCATAAGACATTTAAACACATGTTTTATTGACTTAGATGACTGTAATGAAAACTTCAATTCAAACAAATAATTTGAGTTGTGTAATCAGTCTTCTACCAACAAATATTTAAGTGTTCTATTACATTGCTAATAAAAACATTTTAATGCCTGTCTCAAACTAGCTATACAGAATACAGTACATATGATTACATGCATATTTGAATTTTATACAACATTAGTATTTATAATACATAGTTAAGCACAAGATACTACTCGCTTGTAAGGAACCAAAAATGCATATTCTGTTTTTATCTTTATGCTTAACTATAGAAATTATGTATCAGAGTATAGTCATCCTTTGGTATCCGTTGGAGATAGGCTGCAAGACTTCCCACAAAATTTTCAGATGTTCAAGTCCCTAATATAAAATGGTTTTTTATTTGCATATCATCTATGCACATCCTCCTATATACTTCAAATCATCTCTAGATTACTTATACCTAATACAACATTAAGTGCTACATAAATAGTTTTTATACTGCATCATTTAGGGAATAACAACAAGAAAAGAAGTCTGTACATGGTTCAGTACAAGTGAAAAAAAAATCTTTTTTTTTTGAAACAGGGTCTCACACTGTCACCCAGGTTGGAGTACAGTGGCACAATCTCTGCTCACTGCATCCTCTACCTACTGGGTTCAAGTGATCCTCCCACCTCAGCCTCCCAAAATAGCAAAATATCATTATTCATATAGGTCACATCAGTACTATTTCTTCTGTTGCCCAGGCTGGAGTGCAGTGGCAGAATATATATAAAACATACCCTTTATAGAGGTATAGAATTGCACCCATTTTAAATGTTCCATGAGTTTTTTTAAAAGTATATATGTTTGTGTAATCACCATGGTCAAGACAGAGAACATTTCAATCATTTGGTAAAGCTACCTTTTGCTCCTCTGTAGTTAATCCTGCCCACTCCAGCCCCAGGGAACTACTGATCTGCTTTTTCTTACTATAGATTAGTTTGTCTTCTAAAGAATTTCATATAAATGGGTCTATACTGTGTGTGTACTCTTTACCGTATTCTTTTTTTTTTTTTTTTTTTTAGCTCTCAGAAAATGATTTGGTTCCAATGCACTCTTTACCTTTTTGATATTGTTCAATAACCACAACCTTCTAAAAGGTAATACAGTATTTTTAAAACTGGGTATAAAGGTAATAAATTTTTTGTTCTTTTATAGATTGCTATATTATTCTGTAATATAGCCAAGTATAGCTTTTTCATATATATATGTGCAAGTATAGGTTACTTAGCCATAATACTGTTGTTTATTCATTCACTCAAGATGAATTTACACATAGGTCCTGGCCCATGGTGCTTACAGTTTATTAGAAGAAACTAAACTACAGGGGGAGGGTTAACTTCTAAACTACAATTTACAATAGCAAATCTCCTTTACAGAGGTTTTTTAAAAGAAGGGAACTAGAGAAAGGATACAAGATGCGATAGCAGAACAATAAAATGTATAGACTATCATAAGAAAATAGATGCATGGGGTGATAGGGACAGATTAAAAAAGACAAAACGGAAAGAATCAAAGTAAATTAATAAGGACTCTATGTAAAATACCACTATTCATATAGCTCACATTAGTACTATTTCTTCTGTTGTTCATCTCTTCTAGAATTTACTTTGTCTCTGAAATATACTAGCAGAAATAGGGAACAATGGCATCCATGCTTCCATAAAACTACTGCCAAAGAAATCAAGAGCCCCGTGGCACCTTCATTTCTAAAGTAATTCTTAGGTGGTGGCTTCCGCTTAGCCTTCTCCTACTTTTTAGTTCTAAGTCCCATCATCAGCCAAGACAGAATTGTTTCTTGACCCTTGGGCTCAGGTGATCCTCCTGCCTCAGCCTGCCTCACAAGTAGTTGGGACTTTAGGCACGGGTCACCATGCCCAGCTTTTTTTTTTTTTTTTTTTTTTTTTTTGTAGAGACAGGGTTTCACCATGTTGCCCAGGCTGATTTCGAACTCCTGAGGTCAAGTGATCTGCCCACCTCAGCCTCCCAAAGTTCTGGGATTACAGGCATGAACCACTGAGCTAAGCCAACATAAGTGTTTTGATCAGCCATCTGCTTCATCTAAATCTTAAAGACACTCACCAAAGCCAGGCAATGATTTGCTAATTTTGAGTGTTAAAATCTTCCTCAAAGGGTCATAATCACATTCTTTACACATTTCTGTAAATTATACTGTAAGACAGTCAGTATAATCGTACAACTCTGGGGTAAAACTGGTGAAGTTCAAATTCCAGCCTCATCTACTAGATTTGTGCCCTTGGGAGTATTAGTGAATCCCTCTGTACCTCAGTTTGCTCATTTATGAAATAAGGACGATGGTACTACATCATAGGATTTTTCTAAGACTTAAATGTGAAAAATATATTTAAAATGCTGTTATACATAAACTGCTTGACATACAAATTGCCCAAAAAAGGTTTTTAATTATTACTAATACTGAATTTATTCTTTTGACTAGCGTGTCCCCCAAAGATTGCTTCAAGTAGATTTTTAAAATTAAAACTAATTTTTAGGCCAGGCACGGGGGCTCACACCTGTAATCCCAGCACTTCGGGAGGCTGAGGCAGGTGGATCATGAGGTCAAGAGCTCGAGACCATCCTGGCCAACATGGTGAAGCCCTGTCTCTACTAAAAATACAAAAATTAGCTGGGCGTGGTGGTGTGCACCTGTAGTCCCAGCTACTCAGGAGGCTGAGGCAAGAGAATTGCTTGAACCTGGGAGATGGAGGTTGCAGTAAGCCGAGATCATGCCACTGCACTCCAGCCTGGCGACAGTGCAAGGCTCCATCTCAAAAAAAAAAAAAAAACTAATTTTTTTCTTTTCTTCATTTCTTCATTTATTTATTTATTTATTTTTAAGAGAGGTTCTTGCTCTGTCATCCAGGCTGGAGTGCAGTGGCATGATCTCGGCTCAATGCAGCCTTGACCTCCTAGGCTCAAGTGATCCTTCCACCTCAGCCTCTTATAAAACTAATTTTATAAAGATAAGCATAATCAGCCAGGTGCAGTGGCTTACACCTGTAATCCCAGCACTTTGGGAGGCCAAGGAGGGCAGATCACGAGGTGAGTGTTCAAGATCAGCCTGACCAATATGGTAAAATCCCGTCTCTACTAAAAAATATAAAAATTAGCCGTCCATGGTGGTGCACGCTTGCAGTCCCAGCTACTTGGGAGGCTGAGACAGGAGAATTGCTTGAACCCGAGAGGGAGACTTTGCAGTGAGCCAAGATGGTGCCACTGCACTCCAGCCTAGGTGACAGAGCAAGACTCTGTCTTTAAAATATATATATATATGTATAATATATATATAATATATATATGTATAATATACATATATATAATATATATATGTATAATATACATATATATAATATATATATGTATAATACATATATATAATATATATGTATAATATACATATATAATATATATATGTATAATATACATATATATAATATATATATATGTATAATATACATATATATACATATATATATATGAGTCTGCAGTCTCGTGTTAAGGTGCCCGTCTTTGTCTCCGAGCTTGCGACTCGCGGACCGGCGTCCCCGGCGCAAAGAGGCAGGACTCGGATTCGTTGCCTGAGCAATGGCTGCCATTCGGAAGAAACTGGTGATTGTTGGTGATGGAGCCTGTGGAAAAACATCCTCGCTCATAGTCTTCAGCAAGGACCAGTTCCCAGAGGCTTATGTGCCCACAGTGTTTGAGAACTATGTGGCAGATATCGAGGTGGATGGAAAACAGGTTGAGTTGGCTTTGTGGGACACAGCTGGACAGGAAGATTATAATCTCCTGAGGCCCCTCTCCTACCCAGACACTGATGTTATCCTGATGTGTTTTTCCATCAACAGTCCTGATAGTTTAGAAAACATCCCAGAAAAGTGGACCCCGGAAGTCAAGCATTTCTGTCCCAACGTGCCCATCATCCTGGTTGGGAATAAGGAGGATCTTCGGAATGATGAGCACACAAGGCGGGAGCTCGCCAAGATGAAGCAGGAACCTGTGAAACCTGAAGAAGGCAGAGATATGGCAAACAGGATTGGCGCTTTTGGGTACATGGAGTGTTCAGCAAAGACCAAAGATGGAGTGAGAGAGGTTTTTGAAATGGGTACAAGAGCTGCTCTGCAAGCTAGACGTGGGAAGAAAAAATCTGGGTGCCTTGTCTTGTGAAACCTTGCTGCAAGCACAGCCTTTATGCGGTTCATTTTGAACAAGTGCTGTTTATTAATCTTAGTGTATGATTACTGGCCTTTTTCAGTTATCTATAATTTACCTAAGATTACAAATCAGAAGTCATCTTGCTACCGGCATGTAGAAGCCAATTATGATTATTAATGATGTCCAACCTGTCTGGCTCACTAGGGTCTTTTTGACACTGCTCTAACATCCCTCCTCTGCACTCCCACCTGATACACCAGGCACTAATTCAAGGAATTTCCTAACTTCTTGCTTCTTTCTAGAAAGAGAAACAGTTGGTAACTTTTGTGAATTAGGCTGTAACTACTTTATAACTAACATGTCCTGCCTATCACCTGTCAGCTGCAAGGTACTCTGGTGAGTCACCACTTCAGGGTTTTACTCGTTAACAGATTTTGTTGGCATAGCTCTGGGGTGGGCAGTTTTTTGAAAACGGGCTGAACCAGAAAAGCCCAAGTCCATGCAGCTGTGGCAGTTACAGTTCTGTGGTTTCATGTTAGTTACCTTATAGTTACTGTGTAATTAGCGCCACTTAATGTATGTTACCAAAAATAAATATATCTACCCCAGACTAGATGTAGTATTTTTTTGTATAATTGGATTTCCTAATACTGATATTTGTCATCCCCAAAGAAAGTGTATTGGTTTTTTTAAAAAAGAAAGTGTATTTGGAAATAAAGTCAGATGGAAAATTTTAAAAATATATATATATATGTATATATATATATGTGTGTGTGTGTGTGTGTGTATATATATATAAGCATAATCAACAACTCAGCTATTAGAAACTTTTCTGTTCTTCTCTCATCTTCAAAACTAAACACCATATTTAGTAAAAGACTAATGGCAATGTTTTCTGAATGAGAATGATGAACATTCATGTCTGGGAAGCAATAATGATGATCATCTATTTATTACATAAATATTAAAAATAAAAGAGAATGGGCCAGGCACGGTGGCTCATGCCTGTAATACCAGCACTTTGGGAGGCCAAGGCAGACAGATCGCCTGAGGTCAGGAGTTTGAGACCATCCTGGCCAACATGGTGAAACTCTGTCTCTACGAAAAAAAAAATACAAAAAATTAGCTGTGCATGGTGGTGCGTGCCTGTAATCCCTCCCAGCTACTTGGGAGGCTCTGGTGGGAGAATCGTTTGAACCCAGGAGGCAGAGGTTACAGTGAGCCAAGATTGTGCCACTGCACTCCAGCCTAGGAGACAGAGCAAGACTCCATCTCAAAAACCAAAAAAAAAAAAAAAGAGAGAAAAATATCTATTTTTCAAAAGCTATTAAGAACAAATAAAAATAACTGAACTCTCATGTAACACGTTTAGTTCAAATCATCAAATATATATATCCTTTATTATAACATCAGGTTTATTTCTATCTGAAAGCTAGATCGATTATCTGTAGTTAGCCCATAAAGAAAATTTCTATCTTTTCACTCAAGTACATAATTATCATTAGTCTTATACCCTATTAGTTTATTTAACCTTGACTTTTATTCACACAAAAGCAAACAGAGGACACAGGATTCTTTTTAGTGTAACCTGAAATCCTAACAACAGCAAGAAAAGACAATAATATAAATTAATAAGCAACATTTCTATTGAAAAAATGTCTTTTACCTCTCTGAAGTTAACAAGTCTATATCCTAGGCCACTAAACAATCAGGCCTAACTGATCTCTCAGATTAATTTGATATTTACTTTTTTTAGTTACCTGTTACTCTTAATATAAAATATAATCTGATGAGTCAACTTTTTCATATAAAAAGTGGCCGTTTTTCATATATAATACTAATCACACTAGGAAATATTTTTCTGTACTACCATTTTGAAGTTTTTGGGGACTCCTGGAATAATTCAACTCAACAATAAATTAAAATCAGGCCAAGAAACACCTGATTAGAATATGAACTTACATCTTTTTATTTTAATAAGCAACAGAATTCCAGTATTGAGTGAAAATAATGAAAGAAGAGTTTAGGAAGGGACACAAAAACAGATGGTAAGAAATCAGAGAGATGGATCTAAAGACAAAAAGCTAGGAGGAACTAGGTATGACTTTTGACATGTTTGAACTTCATTATTTCCATAATACTTTTAATTTACTAGATATGGATCCATAGAGATTATTAGATAAATACTAAACAAGAAAATAATCCAATAGATTATTTTCATGTCAAATGTTTTCAAAAAATCCTTTTCCAAAAAGATATCTTCATACATAATATAGGCATTTATGGTCTAACTGTGATATAACAAGGACCCTAGGAAGAGAAATAAATCAGAAATAGTCTATAAAGTCAATAAAATATTATTACTATGTTTAGGATTTTCCATTTGTGCACTATAAAGTATAATTCTGTATGGTACCATATCAAACATATTAGCAGTAGGAAAAAAAAAATCATAGCTTATTTTCTCCTCATTGTGGTATTTCACATTTTCTTTCTTTTTCTTTCTTTTTTCTTTTTTTTTGAGACAGAGTCTTGCTCTGTCGTCAGGTGCCAGGCTGAAGTACAGTGGCTCAATCTCGGCTCACTGCAATCTCCCCTTCCGGGGTTCAAGCAATTCTTGAACCTCAGCCTCCCTAGTAGCTGGGACTACAGGCAGACGCCACCACGCCCAGCTAATTTTTGTATTTTTTACTAGAGACGGGCTTTCACCATGTTGGCCAGGATGATCTTGATCTCTTGACCTCATGATCTGCCTGCCATGGCCTCCCAAAGTGCTGGGATTACAGATGTGAGCCACCATGCCTGGCCCCACATTTTCTTTTAAAAATCTTCCAGTCTTGGCTGGGAATGGTGGCTCATGCTTGTAATCCCAGCACTTTGGGAGGCCAAAGCGGGTGGATCACCTGAGGTCGGAGCTCAAGACCAGCCTGACCAACATGGAGAAACCCCGTCTCTATTTAAAAAAAAAAAAAAACTCTTCCAGTCTTAAATGTTTGATTTAAACAAAGATTGTGGCCGGGCACACCTGTAATCCCAGCACTTTGGGAGGTCAAGGCAGGTAGATCACAAGGTCAAGAGATCAAGACCATCTTGGCCAACATGGTGAAACTCCATCTCTACTAAAAATACAAAAATTAGCTGGTGTGGTGGTGTGTGCCTGTAGTCCCAGCTACTCGAGAAGCTAAGGCAGGAGAATTGTTTGAACCTGAGAGGCAGAGGTTTCAGTGAGCTGAAATCACGCCACTGCACTCCAGCCTGGCAACAGAGCTAGACTCTGTCTCAAAAAAAAAAAAAAAAAGATTGTATCAGATCAGCATTCAGCTCTTATTTAACCAGTTCTTTCATTTGATACATCATATGATCTCTTAACTCATGCTTTTAAAATCATTAAAAATTTTAAATCTATTGTTTATATTTATCCATCTTTCCAATTTGTTTATATTCTTATTTTTCCTGTTTTATCTATGATTTTTCTCCCATCTTATATCTCTATATTTCTAGAATGATACTTTCAGTTAGTGTCATTTCTATCTCAGTTTTTCATTTGCCAAAATGAATAGTTTTCATTATAGAATGTATAAGAAATAGTGTCTTTTCTCTGCAGCTGAATTTTTTTCCCAGGCACTACAAAGAGGAACTCTAGCCTTCAAATTTGAACTTACTAATGGCAAACCATTTTATTTAAAATATATATATATATAAACCACGTTCTTTAAAGAAGGAAAATACAAGAATAGAATTGAAAAGTAAAAATCTGTAGTGTATAGTTTTATTAGGATTTTTTTTAATACAAGTTACTTTGAATATAATTGTAACAGCATAATTTTTATTTACTTTATTAAGAGTATCACATATTAATTATGGGGTTATCAGAAACGTCATTTAATGGCCATGTATTATAACATTAATTAGACAGGACCCTTTTCCCATTGTCAGGCAATCATCACATTAAATTTAAAAAGTGACTGCCAGAAAGACTAGCACTGTTTTGATAGGAAGGTTTAAATGCCAACTCTGTTGAATAGTAGACATTTTGAATTTACTTGCAAAGTTTAATAATACCCAAGTGTATGTTTTCCAACCTTGTTTCCAAAATAGAAAAAAAAATTTTTAATTTGGAAAATGTACATTCTATTTAAAAAATTAACAAATTATATCACACCAATTACTTAAATTCCCCTCACTCTGGGCAGAGTTTTTAATTACTATTAATAGATGAAAATCTAGACTATTGATGTAAAACATCCATACATAAATATTACTAGACAATACTTGATATTATATACCATTGTGAGTTAGCACAGCACAGTAGTTGAGAGCTTAGGCTAAAGTGAGACTACCTGGTTCTACTGGCTCGTCACTCTGGGTGAGTTATTGGACCTCTCTATGTCTTCATTTGCTCATCTCTAAAGTGGGATAATCATCATCATCTCAAAGAGTAGTTAAGAGAATTCACTGAGTTCTTGTTTGTTTGTTTCACTCTGTCTTGTCTATCTCACTCTGTCACCCAGGCTGGAGTGGAGTGTAGTGGCGTGATCTCAGCTCACCACAACCTCTGCCTTCCAGGTTTCAAGGGATTCTCCTGCTTCAGCCTCTTGAGTAGCTGGGATTACAGGTGTATTTTTTTGTTGTATTTTTAGTAGAGATGGGGTTTTTACCATGTTTGCCAGACTGGTCTCAAACTCCTGACCTCAAGTGATCTGCCCGCTAGGAGTTCTTATTTGTAAAGTTCTTGGCACATAGTAAGCAATCTATAAATATTATTTAGTTGTTTAAAATTGTTTAACTTTAGCTAATATTTATTGAGCACTTACTACATGCTAAATTAAATGCTTTACATGAATTTGCCTCAAATCATCTTCACAACAACCGAGGATAAGACACTATTATTGCACCCATTTAAAGATTAGAAAATTGAAGCAAAAAAGATTAAGTTATTAGTCCAAGGCCATACAAGTAAATGTCAAGAGCAACAATTTGAACTCAAATCTAGCAGCATGGCCTACAATTTTAACATAGGTTACAGGATACACTATACACTAGAAGCAGTAGCCTCCTTCAGTACTCTATCTTAAAAAGAGGACAGGAGAGGGCCAGGCATGGTGGCTCACGCCTGTAATCCCAGCACTTTGGGAGGCCGAGGCAAGCAGATCACGAGGTCAAGAGACCATCCTGGCCAACATGGTGAAACCCTGTCTCTACTAAAAACACAGAAAAATATTAACTGGGCATGGTGGCGTGCACCTGTAGTCCCAGCTACTCAGGAGGATGAGGCACAAGAATTGCTTAAACCCAGGAGGCGGAGGTCACAGTGAGCCGAGATCGCGCCACTGCACTGCAGTCTGGTGCCTGGTGACAGAGTAAAAAGATTCTGTCTCAAAAAAAAAAAAAAAGAAGACAGGAGAGTCACAAGAGACTTTGCTGAAATAAACTAAAATATTCCAAGAAATAGTTTACAAACTATAGAGTAATTAAAAATTAATGTAAGAAATGAGTCACTGTAATACAGAAATACTTGTGTATGAAGTGATATGATATTTGATATTTGTTTTAAAATAATCCAGATTGGGAGAGAAGGGATAAAAGAAGCAAAATTAGATTGACAATGTCTAAACTGTGGTGATGGGTATATGGGGGTTCATTATTTTATTCTCTCTACTTTTATATAGTCTTTAAAATGTCAATAATAAAAAAGAAATAGCAACAAGGTAGCACAAATTAGATACTTCATTACAGATGCAAACAACTTTTTTAAGACACCCTGTCTCAAACATTTTTAAGAGACATGACATAATTGATACTCATACATTTTATATTTTATATATTATTTCCAAAAGGGTAGCCATACTTTAAATTATTGAGAATCTTCTTAACTAAAATGAAAAATTAACGAAAGTATTTAGGCATAAACATGTAAATATATATACTAATCAGTTGTCTGTATTTCCATCAACTCACTAAAAATATTTGTTTAAATAATTAACACTTTTTTTTTCAAGTCTTTCTCCTCCCTGATCATCTCTATGATTATGACAATCTATGGTCTGTTGCCCAGGAAATGGGATGGGTTTGTACAGACAAATATGTCTCTACAACATGGTCACAAATTGAATATGAATAAAAACCAGAAATCTGCTTCACTAAGAAGCACTGCTAAAAATTTCTCACTTCAAATTGTAGTTTTAAAAATATTTGATTTTCATACTAATACATATCTACTGGCTTCTGATATGTACAAATATAACCAATTATTAATTTGAGAACATTTTATATGTTCTAAATTATACTGTTAAAACAATTTAGCTGATACTAAAAGAAAAAAACATTTATTAAGCCAGATGTTATACTAGGCACTTTAATACACACTGGCTCACTAAATTTAAGAGACAATTACATTTTAACAGGAAGAATATTAAAGTTTAGAGAGGTAAAACCACTTGCCCAAAGTCACAGAACTAGTAAGTAGCTAAGTTGATATTCAAATTTAAGTTCAACTGCAAAAACCCACATTCCCCCCACTATCCTAGACTACCTCCAAGGGAGGCAAAAATCTTCTCAAGTCAAACTTATTTAGGGCCTTTTTAAAGTAGACAGTAAAATGTTTGTTACTGGTTACATGCACATTTCACTGCGGCAGCTTGGCTTTGGATAAAGAGCACTAACCAAAACACAGAAAGTATTATTTCTTCTACTGTGGGACTTTTTTTTTTTTTTTTTTTTTTTGGTTTCTTAATTTCAGCCTCAGTTTCTCTTCTCTCTAATTGGAAAATTAATATATTTGCTGTCCAATTCGAGAATTACAAAGATTTAAAGATGACATATTGTCAAATCACTTCGAAATCTACAAAAACAACACAGAATATTTTGTCTTAAAATGTTAAAACACACACACACAAAAGCCAAAAGTGTTCTAAGTAAGTGTAAGCTGTTTAAACTAATCTACAGATTCTATCAACATTTCCAGAACTTTCTAAAACTCTTTCTTCTAAGCATAGCTCAATCATCATTGCTATTACTTGGCTTTCCTTACCCTTAAGTATAATGCAATAGTAATGGCATCAATGTTTTTGCAATAAATAAATAACGTATCATTTTGAAATGCTCACCATATAAATGTTCTAAATTCTGAATTTTCAAACTATGTGCTTGGTGTCACTCTTTTATATTCATGTTAATCTTTGGGTCTTTTCACATTCTATTTTGTGTATAAAAAGCTAAAATGAAGAGTTGGAATTTTAAAGTAGAACACCCAACACACAATTTAAAATGTTTTTTTTTCAATGATTCTCAAATGAGATACATTTTTTTCAATGTATCTCAAAGATACAACAGCCAACAAGCACATTACACGCAGCAACAAAATCCACTGAAACATTCAGCTGCTCTAAAAGAAGGATCAGACTGTTCAGGAGAAAACGATATTGTGTGAGTTTGCAAAGTTTCATACTTTCCCATTTAAACTCCACTTCAGAGAAAGCCTTTGCATACCAACACACTATGCTTTAAAATGATACTCTGCTGACCTTCCAACAGTCAGCTCTATTAAAATTCTGTGTTGGGTGTAACTTTAGAGAATCTGAAAAACACAAAAAGCATTAAGGTACTTTTTATGCTGAATGAGGAAAAAATGCCAAGGATAGCATACAGCTCTTATATAACTACAATTTGTTTTTTTTTTTTTTTTGAGATGGAGTTTTGCTCTTGTTGCCCAGAATGGAGTGCAACGTCGCGATCTCGGCTCATCGCAACCTCCGCCTCCCGGCTTCAAGCAATTCTCCTGCCTCAGCCTCCTGAGTAGCTAGGATTACAGGCATGCGCCACCACGCCCACCTAATTTCGTATTTTTAGTAAAGACTGGGCTTCTCCACGTTGGTCAGGCTGGTCTAGAACTCCCGACCTCAGGTGATCCACCCACCTCGGCCTCCCAAAGTGCTGGGATTACAGGTGTAAGCCACCATTCCTGGCCAACTGCAATGTATTTTTAAGAGCTAACGCCCATATTTGTGAATATATTCCCCGCAGAAGAAGCTGAATTGCCTCTACTCTGGTCTAAGCTAAACCTAGGTTTTCATTAAGTATATGTTTCATGGAAAATTATCTGGTGATTACTGCCCAAATGGTGCTAATGTCTTGACTATTTTTAGCACTCAATTCTAACATATTAGCCCTGCTCTAAGAATCATCTCTTGACATGTCTTTCTTTTGACATTCAAAACTACAATATTTCTAAACTACTTCAAGTAATGCTGCCCGAAAAACATCCTACAGTATAGTGGCTGCCAATTAAAGTCATTGGAGCAACAGACAGTGGCTACAGTTACTAAGTAGGACTCTGTGTACAAAATCAATGGTCAGTCTGTAAAGTCCAGTACCTTTCAGAGTAAACCATCTCACTGATTCACTTAACAATTTAGAGACGCTACTATGAAGGTGAAGTCCCCTTTTTTGGAGGGGATGGAATAAGCGAACGGATACATCAAACCAAAAGCAGAATTTCTCAGGAAGGGGGTTCACAATGGCACTTTTTTTTTTTTTCATACGGTGAAACTAATAGTTAACCACCCAGTTAAGTTTTTTGCCCCCTTCCGGTGTTTTAAAAGTGGTAAAGAGCGCAGTGGGAGTTTTTTGGTTTTGATGCCCCTTGCACAGGAAACCTGTTCTGACACATTCTTGTGGTGTCCAGTATAGGAATTTCACCTGAGTAGAGCTCAGTTTCAGTGCTATTATTTCAGATGGTGGGAATCCCCTGCAGGCCTTAGCCAAAAGAAGTCTTAAATGAAAAATCTCTGTTCTGAGCCCCCTCCCTGCAACCAGCCCTTGAACGGAAAACCAGAGAAAATTCTCAAAGGACAGCGTCTGTGCCTGAGCTGGTCCTCATGGGAGAGGAGAGGAATAAAACCAATCCAGAGAGGGCACCCCCATCTTTGTAAAAGAGAAGGGAGAAGTAATTAGAATGCCACGGAGGTGGGAAGAGAAAAAAAAAAAAAAGAAAATTCGGGCCCTTTCCAGCAAGAAGATGACGAGGAAAGGAAGAACGCCTGGTAGAGGGGGGCTGTCCCAACATGGGGAGGGAGTGGATTAGGCCTGAGGGAGAGGGGGTGGAACGACGGCGCACAAACAAGCTGGAAGGGGAGGAAAATGGTGACCCTGCACCCAGAACCGGCTCCAGGCCACGACGCCCGCTTGGGGGCAACTTTGCTGGGGAGGAGGGTCCCGGTAAGAGAAGACGCGGCTCCCCGATCGCGACGGTCCCAGCGCGGGGCCCAGTCTGGGACCATCCCCGAGCCCGGGAGGCCGAGGCCGGCGGCTCGCGGAGTGTGGCGGGGCCAGAAGGGCAGAAAACTGCTAGGAGCGACCCGGTGCCGCAGAGCCCTGGGGGCCGACAGAATCCGGGCCCGGAGCTACCCGCGACTCCGCGGGGGAGGGGCCGCCACTGCTCTGCACGCCCCCTCCACCGTCGCCCAGACCCCATCGGCCTCTGCCCGCTCTGGCCAGAGAAGCCATCAGGGTCGCGGCTCAGCCGTCCCCAGCCCCGACGGGGACCCTCCGTCTCCCCCAAGCCCGGTCTCCCCGCCCCCACGCCCCACCCCCCAGCCTGACTCACCTCGCGAGTACAGGGACTTGGGCGATTCCAGGTCTAGGTCCGCGCTGAGCAATGAAATGAAGTCCGAGGGCATCGCAGCTCGACCCAGCCCGGCCCGAGGGCAGCGGGAGGGGAGGAGCGGCGGTGGCGGCGGCACCTCCTCTCCGGGACCGCGGGCACCGAACCGGGGGCGGCGAGGCGAGGGCGGCTGCCGCTGCCTCCTCCTCGAGGGTAGTGACTTCCACCGGGCCAAGGACCGAGGAAAAGGAGGCGAGGTGGAGGGGGAACTCCACAGGGACTGATACTCGGCGGCCAGGAGAGGGGTTCAGGGCGGGGAAGGGGAAGGGGGATAGCCAAAGGGTCCGTTCCGTGCTTCTCCTCAGCGAAAACTGACGGTCGCCGCCACCGCCGCCGCCGCTGACAGGAATCTGAGCCCCGCCCCCCCGCGGGGCACTGCGCAGGCGCGGAGGTGGGGAGCGCTCTGGAGCCCGGAAGAGCCCCGGCGGCCCCGGAGGGCGGGGAGGCGCGCCAGGGAACAGCAGCAACAAGCGCCTCGCTTCCTGCCGCCGCGGCCCGAGCTGCTGTTCCCGACCCGGGAAAGGGCCCCGCCGCCAGGGACGGAGGGACGGAGGGAGGGAGGCTGGGAGGTGGCCGCGCGCTGGGGCCCCGGGGAGGGAAAAGGTATTTGCACCGATCTGGTGGCGGCGAGCCTGAGGCGGCCGGCCCGGCGCGGAGCTGAGCGCAAGAGACAGAGCAGAGGAAAGCGAGGTGTCTGCCCGAGCCGGGGACGGACCCCAGAGGCGGGCGGCGGGCCGCGGCCCGGCCTGCCTGGCCCTGGGTCTCGCAGGGGACCGAAGTGTCATCGCTTGGACAGCCACCAACCCTTTGAAGTTTTCATAGCAGTGTCTACAAAGGGACTGCCTAAGCAATTTCTTAATTAGGAAATGGCAAACCGTATCCCAAAAACCTCAAGTTATTGATTGTTTTTAATTACTTTTTCTCCCAACACTCCTCCCACCTTTGGAGGCTGAAATTATTTAAAAAAAAAACGATCTTTCTGATTGTGCTGGGGCATCCGGGTTATTCGGAGTGGGACACAAGACAATTTAAAAATTGGATCATGTGAATCCACCTGGCTGTTCTAGAGGAAAAAGAAAAAAAACAAACCTAAACGCTACTCTTCCAGGTTTTTCTTTCTTTCTTTTTTTTAACTTTTGGACTAGGCAAGGATGGAGGAAGAACGCATTTAATTGAGTTTTTGCTCTTGCTTTTCTGTTCGTGGAGCAAAAGTTTCCGTTGCAAACACTTAAAATCCTCACACCGCAGACCGTTTCCTGATTCTAATAGACTTCTGAGAAAATTTTAATCAAGTTACTGAATTATCCAGTGGAGTGCAGGGTCTGCATCTTGGGAAGTAATTTAAATCTTGTGTGAAATACTGATGTCAGAAGCCACATGGGCAAGGTTTTTAAGCTATTCGAAGTGTTTTTTTTTTTAATTTTATATACAAGGATGGTTACAAATCATGAAAATCAGTCTGTTGTTTTGTGTGTGTGTGTGTGTGTAGACAGATATATAGGTAGATATATATAAATTATAGAGGCTTTTTCCCGTGAAATTGAGCAGTTCCTCAGGATTTGGAGTGCTAGGGTTGGGGTAAGAAGCTCTCAGCAAAGGAGGTCCCCAGTGCAGATGTCGCTGAGGCAGGGCCCTTTACAAAGTTTTACTTGCAGAACTACAGTTTAAACGTGTGTGTCATCAGAGCTCACCTATCTTTCCATCTCAACATTTGATTCAGGTTGCCCAATTGTCTTCACCGAATTCTGTGTAGTAATCAACCCTGTGAAAATTAGTCTCTCGTCAGAGGTTCAGAAAGCTTTTCAGAGCTACCCCAAGATGGCAAAGGAGAACAGGAAAACTACCTTCACATTTCCATCTCCACTGCATGCTGTTGTGACAAGTCCCAAGGGAAGTCCCTTCATAACTGATAAGAGCCCCACTCATTAGAGGGAGGAAGATTCAAACCTCACATTGTCCAACAGGCCAAGGCCTACTGAAATCCTATAGCTTTTGAACTGGAGTAAACACACTTCTTGGAGACGTCCCCCATCCATTAGTCAATACGTAGGGTAGTGGAGAGGAAATGCAATTCACCACCAATACTAAGAAAGTTGAGTGAATCACTCTGAGCAGATCCCTTTTCCCCAGGCCTATGTAATCAGTTCACAAACTTAGGGTATAGGAAATCCCCAGTACTGCTCTGACCCTAATTAATTACTTGAGAACTGGCAAGGCCTCTTCCTTTTTATCTCAATACTTCTCTGCCCTTTTGTGACCTTTTTTCCCCCAATGAGGCTTCGTTGTGTATGTTAATCAGATTTCCCCTGATTAGGTAAGAGCAAAGTGAAAAGGGGCCCACCAAAGGGTGGCTTGACCTCAGCTGTGAATTCTGAGAAGGATTCTGTAGCCTCAGGCCTCACCTCATTAGGTCCTGCATTAAACTTGGATTATATCTAAATAGTTATTTGAAAAATCAGTGCCCACTCCCACTGCTTGCACCTGTCTTTTTATAGAAATAGATTCTTTTTTTTTTTTTTTTGAGACGGAATTTCACTCTTGTTGCACAGGCTGGAATGCAATGGCACAATCTCGGCTCCCTGCAACCTCCACCACCCAGGTTCAAGTGATTCTCCTGCTTCAGCCTCCTGGGTAGCTGGGATTACAGGTGCCCACCACCACCCCCGGCTAATTTTTTTATATTTTTAGTAGAGATGGGGTTTCACAATGTTGGTCAGGCTGGTCTCAAATTCCTGACCTGAGGTGATCGACCTGCCTCTGCCTCCCAAAGTTCTGGGATTATAGGCATGAGCCACCGCATCTGCCCTATATTCTTTTTTTTTCTTTCTTTTTTTTTTCTTCTGAGACAGAGTATTGTTCTGTTGCCCAAGCTGGAGTGTAGTGGCAAGGTCATAGCTCAGTGCAGCTACAAACTGAAACTCCCAGCTTCAAAGTAATCCTTCCACCTCAGCTTCCCGAATATCTGGACTACAGGCATGTGCCATCACACTTGGCTAATTCATTCCATTATTATTGATTGATTGATTTTGTAGATACATGGTCTTGCTGTATTACCCAGGCTGGTCTTGAACTCCTTTTTTGCAGAGACATGGTTTTGGTATATTGCCTAGGCTGGTCTTGGACTCCTGGCTTCAAATTATCCTCTTGCCTCGGCCTCCCAAAATGCTGAGATTAGAGGCATGAGCCCTCGAGCCTGGCCCAAAACACATTATCTGAAAAACTGCTTAGGTGGCTAGTTTTCTTGGCCATACTTTGCAACAGCATAGAGACTTAGATTTTCATTTTGTCTTTCAAATTTCAGTGACTGAAAACACAAATAAATTCGTTAGTAAACAGTGTTTGCTCTGCTGTCATCACAAAATAAAATGCGACCTGCATGATATTCAAGATTATCAAAAATAACTATCTGGTCACTGTGTCATTAGTAAATTATATGCCATTCTTAGTTCCAATCATATTTCCCTCTGTGGTCATTTAGGTCTCAGTTGCATCCCCTTTTCTTTGATATCTGAAATAGTCTAATGATGTATTTTTTAAACTACCTCTTCATCTATATACCTTTATAAAACTTCCTCTGGACCGGGCGTGGTGGCTCACTCCTGTAATCCAAGCACTTTGGAGGCCAAGGTGGGCGGATCACCTGAGGTCAGAGTTCAAGATCAGCCCGACCAACATGGTGAAACCCCGTCTTTAAAAAAAAAAACAAAACTTCCTCTGACTGGGCATGGTGACTTGAGCCTATAATCCCAGCACTTTGGGAGGCCCAAACAGGCAGATCACTTGAGGTCAGGAGTTCGAGACCAGCCTGGCCAACATGGTAAAACCCTGTCTCTACTAAAAATACAAAAAAAAAAAATTAGCCAGGCATGGTGGTTCACACCTATAGACCCAGCTACTTGGGAGGCTGAGACAGGAGAATTGCTTGAACCTGGGAGGCGGAGGTTGCAGTGAGCCAACATTGCACCACTGCACTCTAGCCTGGGCAACCAGAGTGAGATGCCATCTCAAAATAAATAAGTAAATAAAACTTTTTCTGTTCACAACAAAAAGTAAAACTGTAAGCATGCAGAATTTAGAAATTTCCTCCTTTTGAAATTATAATGGGACCACGAGCAAAACATAGAGCAGATTTAGGAGTTTGTAGAATTCCTTTCTGTTACTTCCCAATCATATATCACCTTCCCCAGTCACTTGATTAAAATTTCACAAGAACCCAGATTCAACTACAAGACTGTAGATTATGCAATAGAATGGCACTTTTTATATTTGTGGTGTGTACTTTAACCCCTCCTGGACTTGTTTAGGCACTTTGTGAATTGTGTAGCTGGAATGACTATAAATGAAAGAGGTTCAAATATCAGCCACTGAAAAGGAATTAAATAAACTCATACAGAACAGAGGAATGTGCTGTCACAAGATCTACAAATCTTTGTCATTGTAATACAATTAAAGCTGTTAAAATAATTTTAGTCACACATATATTGTAAGGAACCTGCTAAACAAACACAAAATCTGAAAGGAAAATTTCCAGAACAATTCAAGACAAAAACAAAAAAAAAGTTTAGACCACAATTATTTTTGCCCCACCATGGGAGCACTCCTTAATAATAATGGAGAATTAATAGTGGTGGGAAATAGTAGTGACTGCATTTGTGCTGGAATTGTAATCAAATTCTGAATATGTTTAGGTGTCAATTTCTACCCATATAGCATGTTCTAGGAAATATTTTTTCTTTTAACATTCAATTTAATTTAATTAATTAATTTTTTTTTTTTGAGATGCTCTTGTCACCCAGGCCAGAGTGCAATGTCATGATCTGGGTTTACTACAACCTCTGCCTCCCAGCTTCAAGAGATTCTCCTGCTTCAGCCTCCCAAGTAGCTGGGATTACAGGAACCTGCCACTACGCCCAGCTAATTTTGTGTGTTTTTTAGTAGAGACGGAGTTTTACGATGTTGGTCAGGCTAGTCTCGAACTCCTGACCTCAGTTGATCCATCTGCCTTGGCCTCCCAAAGTGCTGGGATTACAGGCGTGAGCCACCCTACCCAGCCCTTCCTTTTTTTTTTTTTTTTTTTCTTTAAAACAGGGTCTCACTCTGTTGCCCAGGCTGGAGTGCTGTGGAGTGAACACGGCTCACTACAGCCTCAACCTCCTGGGCTCAAGCAATCCTCCCACCTCAGCCTTCTGAGTAGCTGCAACCACAGGTGTGTGCCACCATGCCTGCCTAATTTTTTTTTTTCTTTGTAGAGACAGGGTTTCACCATGTTGCTCAGGCTGGTCTCAAACGCCTAGGCTCAAGCAGTTCTCCCTCCTTGGCCTCCCAAAATGTTGTGATTAGAAGTGTGAGCCATGATGCCTAGCCTAGCAAATATTTGTG